TTTTATTAAGCTTATAGAATTATGAATTTTAGTTAAGGATGTTAATTAAAGAAAGTTGTCTAAAAATTATAATTCAAACAATAAATTTAAAAATTCACCATAAATTATACTTAAATGATTAGAGTATGAATTTTATACCGTTGGATTCGTATATTAGTATAGTTGTGTTTAAAATAAATAGGTACTTATTTTAAGGTGCACACGAAAATATATTAATTTTTAATCGATGATAGGTCAGATGATAGGTCAGAAAATAAGGCAGCAGATTCTGCTCAAAACAACTTCTGTAAGCCTGCTTTGAAAATTCATTATAAATTTTACAAATTGAACTAGAAGTTCCTTATATATTTAGATTCGTATTCGAGTCTAGTTTTCAGTGGTACTATCGGAATAATATTTAAGTATGTAAATTAATACATAATAATATTTCTTTGAATGTAGTACAAATTGTCGAACATTTGGAAGCAAATAATTAAATCTAAAGTTTAGTGAGACTTATATTTTGACTTATAAATAAAGTGTAAAAGTGAACTCAACTTATTTATTTAGATATTCTGATTGAAGACGACTTGTAATAAGTCAACATCGTATTAATTAAAGTATGTTTTCTATTTTAATGACGAATTATTCCCATAATCTTTATATAAAGTTTTACAAATGATTTAGGGTATGAATTGTCGAAGCACAATTTTTACGATTATGGATTTTAAATGTTTATGATTTTAAGATGATGATAAATAAATGATTATATCATAATTTATAAGCCCATTTTATGTTGTATTGAGAGTCGTATGTACATTTGGCATGCCATTAAGTTGAGTACTTCTCAGTTAAGCTATGGTACATTCGTGTACATTATGACTTGCGTCGTTGGTGCTCATGTTATGATTATACTTGGAGTGCATTATATGTTTCAGTTATGATTGACATTGTGATGTGCCTAGTGTGTACCTTATGTTCTACTGACTTACCTTGTATTCTCTTACATAGACATTGGGTTATACAAATAAATATGAAAGTTATGACATGATTTTGAAAAAAAAAGAATATGAAAATGAAAATGAATGAAAGTTTTGAAATATGTATGAATGAAAATAATAAGAATTGTTCGTTATGTTTAATGTTGACTTACATGATTTTTGATAAAATCATGAGATAATGATTTTCAGGTTTTCAAGAAGAAAACAACATGAATAGCACGGTTTGAAAGTTTTAATGATTTTATTTAAATTACATATTTATGTTTATAATATTTTATGAAATTTATGTTTTATCTCGTTTTAGCTATGTTACTGTTTCACTAAGTTTTACTTAGCGAGTGATGATTTTCATGCGTAGGTTCTAATAAAGGAAATGACATGAAATGAGGAGCCTTGCGAGCATCTTTTGGAAATCAAGCCTACAAACAATATCAGTAAGACATCTTATCTTTGATTTATTAGTGTCATATACATTATATCTGTAGATTGCTTTATTGGATTTATTTTTAAAAGGGCATGTAATAGTAATCTAGGACTATTTTAAAGTTAAGTAATTTTAGTTATAATCGTAGTTGTGAAAAAATAGTATAAATATTAAGTTTTAAATGTTTTTTAAAAAAATTAAGCAGTATTTAGGCAGGTTTTAAATAGTTTATGAAACAGCACTAAACAACATAAATGTTGCCTAAATCTAGATTCGTTTTGGATGATTAAATATTATTTTACGATTTTACACGATTAATGAAATAGTTTAAAGTTGAAAAATAAAAACTTTTGAAATGAAACAAATTTTTAAACGTTTATGATCAGTGAATGTCTGTAATGTTATTGTACCGTTTTTAACTAGTATTTCGAGCCGTATACGGATTATGGGTGTTACAGATATACACCGATACAAGTCAGTATTCGTTTATTAGTCTGAAATGGATACACCACACTGAAATAGCACGTGTTTCACACTACTTATTCTCAAATCTTAAGACAACCGAAGCCAAATTTCTTCCTCCATTGCCATTAGAGCATGGTTCCCCTTCAAGTGCTTGTTAGCTACACAAAGTTCACCGTAAAGAATATTTTATTTTCTTTTGAAATTTTCTAGGGCATCCATCTACTTCCTTTTTTAATATATATATAATCAAGCTTGGCTAACAGGTGTTGTAAAATCCAATGACCATTCTTTTAAAGAATATTATTATATATCGATTTCAAGTCTTGTAAAAAAAATAAAAATAGAATACCAATTTTTACATTTAATGCAGTAATTAATTTTCAAAGGGTATGTTAACGTATTCATTATCAAAATCCCATAACGATTCTGGATTTCTAATATAGTTCCTAGTGGCGGAATGCATTTATAATTTCATTACAAGTAATAATTAAAGTGATTAGGTCAACTATTACCAGTTTCGTACTTTCATTACTTTCTTGGGCATGCTAATCAGGATCTACCTCTACTCCCACGGAAACGTATTCGGAATCTTACAGAGTATTGATTCTTGCAGCTTTATTAAGTACATCACCAACAAAACATAGGGTTTGGAGTCCAATATACAGAAACTATATTATATACATATATAATGTATGTATGCTTGTATGCATATGTAAATACTTCAAAGTTCGAAATCTGAAATCTTAATATTTTTTTTTGGTTCATCAACCCAATTACGAGTGCATAATAGAACTATTTTTCCAACAAGAGTAAAAATCATCACCAGAAGGCATAGGAATAATCTGCAAGCAAGAGTATTTGCAATGAACAAGATCAAATAATGCAATGAAATGGATAGTGCATGGTATAATTAAAGGTAAATCAAACATTTAGATTATGAAGTGAATTCCCAAGGTCCCCATATTCTATCTGATCTTTCCTTTTCTCTTCTTAGAAACAAATAGAAAGTAGTGCGGGGGTAATTGGTGATTTCGTTGGGATGCCGCTAAATTCCAACAGTAGACCTAAACCTCGTTTCCTCAGTTGCTCTCTCATCCAAAACTCCCTGCCATAGCTCAACTGTTTCTTGATGTCAGTAGCTCTCTTTCTTTCAGTCTTTACTCTTTCAATCCATTGTACACTTAAACCAGCATATGCACTAACGCCACCCTTCCCAGCTCGCCTTGATGAATCCTTCGGGTCTTACATTGATCAATGTACCCAACTTATAAAAAAATGGCTGGCATTCATACAATAAATACGCATATTCATACATGCATGCATGCAAGCATTACTATGCAAGATTTAAACATGTCATGAAAATATCTCCCTCTGTACATTTTATTTTACTTTTCTCTTCTCTTATTACACGGCTACACCATTAATCTTCACTTATTTGGGCCGCGCCACTAACTTTGATAAAAGCAAAAGTACTCACCCACCCTCCTCAATCATTCCATATATAAGGGTAAGTTTGGCATTTTCAATGATAGGGGCTAGGGCTTGTATACCTCTTGGCTAACCCAAATGATTGTCCACCATTTTAGTTATTATTGAAGAATATGATTATATAAAGTGGTGACATATGTATTGATTCTAATGACCTATGAATGGATTATTTTCAGGACTACATATTCCACTGGCCAAATTTTTACAATAATAATTTGAAAAAAATTCTGCTTGATAACGATGAAATTAAATTATTTACTCAAATAATGTAATTTTTACAAAGTTAAGACGCATTGTGGTCAATACGTTTAACTTTAATACGTATGAAATATCGTGTATTTCCAATGCATAGAATACGAAAGACGCATTATGTTCAAAATAATTTCTTTTCATGCGTTTTCAATACATGAAATACCATGCATATCTAACGTATGGAGCTCATTTACATATAAATAATAATATTTATTTTCACTAATACTATGTAGGTTAAATCTAGGTGTAGCTTGCTGCTAGGATGATCTTTATTCAGATGGTTTGAAACAAAAACAGCTTTGGCATGTGTGTTGCATGTCAATTCATATTTGGTGGGCGTCGCATGATATTCGGGTTGACTATTATTCGAGTAAATTTTTTATATCATTATTATAAGAATTTCTCCTATTCCACTTGATGACTTATCTATTGTGTACTTCTATTTTTGTGGACGGTGGTAGTAGATATAATATAGTATAATTTAATTACAGTATTTGAATTAATCGTTCAATAGATTGAATACCGGTGATTAGAAAAAAATGAATATGATACTACAATAATAATAGGCCACTCAAAACAGAAAGTAGGGAGATTCAAACCTGAGAATCGGGTGAGTAAGTGAGGCCATTTCATGCCATGGGTCGTCTGTCTTTAGGAGAAAAAATTATTTCATTCCAGATTTCCATTGTTATTTATATATTTTAATACGGGTTTGGAAGAATAATTCGTGGACTGTATCTCATGGAAGTTTATAGTGCCATCCTGTTTGTTAGGAGTATGAGAAGAAGATCGATCAGAGATTCTCCCACCTTTTTAAATTACTAAAATAATTAATATTCAGTAACATACTAATTAGAAAAGGTGATGGGTTTAGTTTAGGGTTATTCTTTCCTAAGCTGTCAACAGGTGATTTATAGTAGCCAAATTATTATCTTGATAAAAGTCTATTACAGATATGATTTGAACATGTAAGGTTGTACTATTTCAAGTATTTGATTTTTTTTTTTTAATTTCATTCGGTGTTTAATTGAGTAAAATGAATCCAATTAATATAATTTTAATTACATTCAAAGGGGAAAAAAATAAAGGTTTCCTATAAATTTATTTATTATTATTTTTCAAAAAATAATTTTCTGAAGGCATTCACTATTTTCTCAACTTTCTCATTTCGCACCATCTCTCTTCTCACCGACGCTCAATTTCAAATAAGTTTTTCCTTTCTTCTCGAGACTTACCTGGAAACCAAAGTTTTGTTAACAATTTCAACAACAAAAATATTAATCATACATAAAATTATACAAATATACAAAACTACTTTAAATTTACGCTGGTGTAATTGGATCCATTGTGTCCGTGCGCGTGTCACTATATATATAATGTAAACTAGTTCTAGATGCCAGCATCAGTTAAAAACACAATTGTCAATAGAAATCAAACAAAGCAGGAGCACAGAGTAGCAGAACATAAAATCCCATCCGCAGTCATTGAAATTCATTCATCAACTAAAATGTGCAAACTCTGTTTTACTTCTAAATAGTAACGGAAAAGGCTATAAAACGGACCTTGTCTGTTTCGTTTCAATTTGGTTTAAAGTCCAAAATACTAAACCTACTACTTTCAAACTCTAGCCCTCTTGCTATTGCAACTTGGGCACTTGTACTGCTTGATATGCTCGGCCTTTGCAGGTGTAATCTTCACACATTTGCCATGAAACCATCTCTCACAGATATCGCAGCAAATCCAAAACTCATCAGTTCCATAGCTATCCCCACAAGCCCCACAGGTGGCACCCTGTTCATCATCTTCGTCTTCTTCCCCACTGCCATCTTCCTTGGATGGTGGAGATATCTTTACCATCTTACTTTGGGGTTCAGATTGACGAGACTGCAAACACCAGGGATATCAATGTGACATTAAATCAAGACCACTGCATATTAAAGGAAGAAAAACACAAGCATTTACATTTAACTTCATACCACCTTGGCATTTGATTTGCTTTTGCCACTGCTGTTGTGATTAGTAGATTGGTCTTTTGATGGCTTAACGCTTCCCGTCACAACTTCGAATATGGTTGGAAGATCATTTATCATCAGATAGAGTTTTTTCCTGTCAATAGAAAAACATTAGAATAACATTACTGATAGGAAAAACCTGTAATGAAGCACTCTCCTACACGCAAACCCTACTCACAGCTCAAATCCCTTACTGACAAGGGAGCATAGCATGCCTGTGCTGCAAGCGTGAACAGATCCAGGGATTTGGAAAAGGAAGTTATTTATTTAGTCCCTTTCTTCTACTCAACCTATGTCACTCATACTCGGTTGCGAGAGTCGGAAGTTGATACAAGTCTCCAAACTAGTATGTTCAATTTTTTCTACGTTTTTCCCTATATTAGGAGGGTCCTTAGAGTGTCATGTCCTCGTATTCCTGTGTTGAATAAAGGAAGAGTTGAAGCAATATGCTATTCACTTAAAGAAAGTTGAGATAACCGGATCCCTTAGTTCAACACTTCAATGATTGAGGATTTCTAAATGAGCTAAACATCGATTATAGGGCTGATTAACAGATGGCAGGTGAATTGATATTTTTCTACATATTTCCATCAAACAGGGCCTTTCCCCTTTCTCTCACAACTGCCTCTTGCTGTTTTATTTTTGGTCATGCATCACACCACTGCAACAGTGGAACTGAGGGCCAAGTTTTGCTTCTTTCCCAAAGTTCAAACTCCAAAGCTTTGAGACAATTACAAATTCCCAAATGTGTCAAATATTCCCTCCTAAAGCAAGCCCTTACTAAAATTACAAAACAATGTATGTTCACATACCTACCGGAAGACATCAAGTTATGGTTCTGCAGGAAATCATTCCTTGGATTGGGGGTAGAACCATCGAGCCTACCAGTTCAACCGATTGAACTGACCAATCAGTTTTCTTTAATCATTGTTAGCTGCTTAGACACATGCATGTGACAAACTTCTATTTAACAGGAGTGCCAAAGCATTAAGGTCAATGTTTCATTGTATAGCCTGCAAGACTTTCACTTCAGCTAGGATTAAATATTAATAGTCAAACATCTCAGTTAGTATTTTTGGCATCCAGTCACTTCCTTTCTTGAATGTAAGGCATAAACAACTATCGCATGTCAGAAAAATACAATGAAAGAACCAGAGTAGTGCTATGCATCAGATTGGTAACTTTCAATAAATTAGAAATAAACTCATTTAAAGAGAACAAGGGTACTGTTTTTTGTATAACAGAAGATGCAAAGAGAATAATGCAGACAGCACTAAATTCAACCAAGATACAGCAGCAACCAAGCTGTGCAAACTTAGACTCAATGTGCCATAAATGAAATAGAAAAAGCAAACATACCTCTCATTCTTTCCAAACCCAAACCGTGCACCAAAATAGAAAGCAACGGCAAGCAACCACGAATCACTGTGAACTGCAACCAATGATAGCCAGTCCTTCTCCTGCATTCCATCTCTAGCAAAGTTTATGCCCAGTGCAGGTTCTGGAAGCTCGGGAGGAACCTCCTCAACAGGCAAGTTAACTTCCCATGTCTCATTTGGAAGTCCATACAAGCATAAGTTCTCCTTTTCTGCAAATGTAAATTCAAAATTTTCGAAAATATAAATATGCTGGAATGAATCACAACATACAGCTCATTAATAACTTTGAAGTCATCTAGAAGCACTTCTTGTAGATTCAAGATTTTCTAGTTAACATATAAAATATAAGCATGTAGGAATGGAGACGTTAAATTGAACAAATAGCCATAAACACCACATTGCAGTGGTGATTTTTCCAGTAGAATCAAAACCAAAGTGCCCCTAAAATGAACTTTAAGAATGAAAAATGACATCCAATATATAAATAGTCTGGATAGAATGAAAAAGTGGAAATTGAAGCCAAAGACTAGTTTACATCTATAAACGAAGGAAACTAGATATTTCATTTTCCACTATCAGTTCAGATTTAAAGAGTATTCATTAAATGGCACTATATAATATGAATAAATAACATAGAAAGCCAAGCAAATTTCAAACCATCCAGTAAGAAAACACATAGGAAAGCATGACAAGTAGTTTTCAATGTGACTATAAACGCAAACATTCACAGGAAATAGAACATAATTTCAGAAACACATAGAAATGAAGATTCACTATCAAAGATAGAAAATCATCCGGTAAGAGAGCATACAGGAAAGCATGATAAGTAGTTTCATTGTGACTATAAATGCAAACACACACAGGAAATAGAACATAATTTCAGAAACAAATAGAAATGAAGATTCATTTCCAAAGAAAGAAAGCCATACTGTCAGAAAACATATGGGAAAGCATGATAGGTAGTTTTCAGTGTGACTATTAATGCAAACATTCACAGGGAATCCAACATAATTTCAAAAACAAATAGAAATGAAGATTCATTTCCAAAGAAAGAAAGCCATCCAGTAATAGAACATATCGGAAAGCATGATAAGTAGTTATCAGCAGGGATTCAAATAGCGGTTGCGGTCGCGTTTTCGGCCACGTCGCTTTCGTCGCGATTGCGGATGCTATTATGAGGATTATGGGTATCACGGTCATATAATAACGGTTTCGGAGGGCACTGCTACCGCTATATAGCGGGCACTATCGCAGTCACGGACCGCTATTTAAATCCCTGGTTATCAGTGTGACTATAAATGCGAACATTCACAAGAAACAGAACATAATTTCAGAAACAAATAGAAATGAAGATTCAGTTCCAAAGAAAGAAATTTCAATAATTCAGCTACTTCAGACACTAACTCGTGGCAGGTTGCTTAGTGCAGAGAATGGCCAGAAGCATGTCCACATCATTAAAAGGCAAATACTACTAAGAAAAAAGGTTAGGCAACCATTTGAAATATGCATTTGGGCAGATTTCAAACCCGAGCTTCATTTTTTCATGAAGCTGAGATAAACACTTGACTGGAAAGGTTAATTTGAAAACAGTCACTTTATCCAAAACGAAATGCAGGTTCATTAGTAGATTAAATGAAAACCCAAGGCAGACGGTGTACTTGCAAAAAAAAAAAAAAAGCTCATTCATGTAACTATTTTTGCAAATTCTGGCCACCTTGCAGGCAAAGCAAGTATACTGTAGCAAATAAACCAAGATTACATATCATCAAAAAGGAAAAGGGGGCTAATATGATAAATGATTTAAAGGACCTAAACCAGAGAGGTGTGCACGTATACAAGTCTTTTCACAATTGAAGTGAATTGAATTCAGAGCCATTTATTGTGTAAAGCACACAAGACATGTCCACAGAAACAAGCATGAACAATTTAGGGCTGATAAGGACAAAAATGGAAATCAAATATAAAAATAAAGATAAAACTGCGCCTTTGTATATTAAGAATTCAATTTCCAGGCATTACAGAATTTATCTGATCAAGCAGTCATAGTGTAGGAAGACGAAGTTTAACTGCTTTCACAGAAATACATCTGACCATGTGATTTTCATTAGCTTTACATGATAGTCAGCTGCTCCGACATTCAGAAAATAACAATATAGAAAGAATTTTGATTAGAAAAAATGTAAAAACCATTTCGTACAGATACAGAAAAGTAATCCAAAAGAAAGAAAGCAAACTCGAGAAAAGGAAAACAAACAGATATACAGTCTCCGTGCAGCGTCAAACCTCAAAAAAGAAAATATACAAAAAAAAAATGCAAATTAACCCACCAGGATCACACTGTTGGAAGAACTTTTCAACATCTGCCATAAAAAACACAAATATGAAACAAAAAAACTCGTTAATTAAATCCATCGGTAATTCTAAAAGAACAAAAGAGAAAGAAATCCAACAATGAAAGAAAGAAAGAAAGAAAGAAAGAAAGAAAGAAAGAAAGAAAGGGGAAAGAACCAGTGGTGAGAGCCTTAATCAAGCCAGCGCGTCTGCCTTTAAAGTCGTTGAAGACCTCATCTACTGTTCTCGGTATTGGGTGTGGTATCCCTTCCATTTGTTTTTCTCAAATTCCCCCACCAACCCAAAATCCTTAACCTCTGTATATTGCAAATTGAAATATTAAATACAAAGACAGTACGTGGATAAAACTTTTAAATATAATTTTCAAAGTAGCAAGTCGGGAGTTAAAGGAAAAGATGAATTAGGGTTTTCATTGTAGGGTTTGGTGGGATGGAGGTTCGGGGGATATACTACAAATTATAATTATATTATATATAAATAATGTACACTTTGTGAAAGAGAGAAGGAGCGGATAACGGAAACTCTACAAAGCCAATTTTAGGCAAAAGGATGGGTTTAGGGTTCAATTAAAATTTAGATTTCAATGATAACTTGGATTTTGACGCGATGGATCTATCCACTATTAAACTGACGAAGATTATTGTCTTTATGGTTAAACTACACCTATAGTCACTCGGTTATTACTCCATTTACATTTTAGTCATCAGTTGTGTAAAGTTACACGTTCTGACATTCATCACTCAACTAATCATCTTCTTATAATCTAGTCACCCCTTTGTTAACTATTAATGGAAATATAGATGAAAATTCAGATTGTGGATTTCAATATTTATAGACATTTGATCTATTCAAATGGCATGTGGATTTGGACATTGATATTACTATTCGATGTAGATGTATACGGATATTCATTATCTGAGATAACATACAGATTTAAATTTTGGTTATTTCAGTTTTAACGAATTCAATTTAAATTTGTATCTAATAATAAATTATATATGATTAAAATGTAAACAAAAATTAAATAAGTTTTATCCAAAATATTAAAATATTATATTTTAAGCATATATTTTTATTGAGTGATTAAAGATATAATTTATATATAATTTTTAATCTTTATAATGTGTCTTTATTTTACTTGAGACTTTTAGAAATTTATATGGAATGGGTGTTACTTTATAAAATATGTTTTTAAGTGTGATATTTTGGTAAAGAGGCGGAGATTACCCAACCTAAAAAAGCTCGAGAATTTGCGGGGAAATTCCCAGCTACCTCTCACTCTACAGTGTGACGCGGAGAGGACCAAATCTCCGATGTTCCTTTTACTTTGATACTAACAAAGGGTTCAAGAGATTTATCAAAACACCGATGGAAGAGAGTTTCAAACCTTCCAGTTACAAAGAGTACGTCGCCGGCTTGTTCGCTGGTGTTGCCACCGTTATCATCGGTCACCCCTTCGATACTGTGAAGGTATAAGTTATTGCTGATTCTTATACCTTTTTCTTTAAAAAATTAAAGCTCTTTTAGCATGGGCCCGACAGAATTTCAAGAGTTATATTTGTTAAATTGTAGCAATTAAAAATTTAACCAGGTGGTTAGCATTTCCAGGAATGTTGGTCAATAATCGAATTTAAAGATCGGATAAGTTCCTCTTTGGGAAAATGTAAATGTTGATTATATTCTTTTAACCTAAGCTTTATTTCTTTGCTTCCTGGTTTTCTTGGCAATGCGACAATCAGTAAATTTCTTTTATTATTTACGGTTGTTTGCTCAGGTTAAGTTGCAGAAACACAATACTACAGTGCATGGGATTACATATAGGAATGGCTTGCATTGCACTGCTAGGATACTTGCATCTGAAGGGGTATGCTTCTTGATCCTTGTTTTTCCTTCCTTTCCCTATCTAGAACCCTGTTCGTAAATTTGTTCTTTGGTGAGAATTAGATCATTATTGAATATCTAAAGCAATATGGCGGTGGAAAGGGATCATTTTTTTAATTCTTTTATAACTTTTTGAACTTGAATACCTCCAGTTTAATTTTTATAGGGTTGCTTGCTGTTCAAAGTGCAAAATGAATCAGTAGGATATAAAGATATTAATGTTCAACTCTATCAGATTTCAACATTTTGTGCAGAGAAACTCATTTTCTTTCGTGTTAATTCCTACACCGGTTTACGTTTGCTACTGTCCTATAATCTAAAAATGTTGATAATGGAAAAAACTGAGCAAATTTAATGAAGTTATCCAGGAATTTGTGAAGATAGAGAGAATTTCTTGCAAGTTGTATATGTCCAAAGGGGAAAAAAATAAAAATAAAAATCCTTAAGACTTTCTCAGTATCTACAGCTGTGATTCGAAAACCAAGGTATTGGTCTACTGCATAAGTGGAGAGGATCCTAAAGCACATACAAGGTAGTTTGTGGAATGTAAATCATCAGTTCACTTATTGCAGCAGTATAATCCTATAACAGTCCATAAATCTTAGCGTATTTTATACATGGTTATTACAGTTTCCCTTACATTTGACATATTTGATTTTTTCTGGAGAACTCATGGTTAGCTTCTGCAGGTCAGAGGACTTTATACAGGGGCAACACCATCTTTTGTTGGAATGGCCTTTGAAAGTTCTCTTCTTTTTGGCATTTATTCACAAACAAAACAGTTACTGCAGGTTTGTAATAAAGAGAATTGGAGGTGATATACCTGTTTCTTTAATAATATGTTTCCAACACATTGTAATGTGTCTAATTATTTATTTATTTTTTTTGCTAATGAAGGGAGGAGTTCAGAGTAGCGGGCCACAGCCCCAAGTAATAATTCCTTCTGCTGCTTTTGGTGGAGCTATTATCAGTTTTGTTCTATGTCCATCGGAGTTAGTGAAGGTATGAATTAGTTTTTATGTTCTGATATTACTTGCTCAATGATGATAAAATCACTATTTTCCCCCCCAAAAGTATGCTTGTGACAATGGGCTTCTCCAGTGTAGGATGCAAATTCAAGGCACTGACTCGTTGGTTCCAAAGTGTAGTGGCTACAGTAGTTCCATTGATTGTGCACTAAAAACCATAAAAAGTGACGGGGTGAGAAATACTCTGCTTTTTGGCAACTTAACTCATATATGAAATTAAACTAATGGAACACCTTTCAGGTTACAGGTGCCTTTCGAGGTGGCTCTGCAACATTATTAAGGGAATCCGTTGGAAATGCAGTATTTTTTAGTGTGTATGAATATGTCCGTTATTATATGCACTTACAGCTAAAAACTGGTTCATCTGACCATAGCAGTTTGGTTGATATGGGAATTGGAATTTTGAGTGGTGGTCTGGGTGGTGTAGCTGTAAGTGTTCTGACATTGTTGCATTTTGTTTTTTCAATTTAGTTACGATATGGTCTGTTTAATCTAGTTTTATTATTTTCTTTCTAGTTCTGGTCAACTGTTTTACCTTTGGATGTGGCAAAAACCATTATCCAGACTGCTCCAGATAGAAGCTATTCAACAAATCCTTTTCAAGTTTTAAATTCGGTGAGACAATCTGATTCCCTTCCTATATATTATGGTGTCAGAATCCACCTTTCGTGGCACAAGAAGATGGATAGCAGACTGGTGGAGGTTTTATATAAAGATCAAAATGATATTAAAAGTAAAGGGTGACATTCTAATTGTTTCCTTGCCTTGCAGATTTACCGGAGGGCTGGACTCAGAGGATGCTATGCAGGACTCGGTCCTACCATTGCGAGGGCTTTTCCAGCTAATGCAGCTGCAATCGTCACCTGGGAGTTGGCCATGAAGCTTCTTGGAATCAAGAACAACTAAGGAAGCTAATACTTAATTCATCTAATCTACAGAGACTTCTTTTGAATTTGTAATTGGCTTGGTGGCTGATCTTTCAGCTCGCATATTGGCACGAGCTGATCCTTGGGCTTAAATGATATGAACATGTAGCTCGAAGACATTTGAGTTGTTTTCTGAGTTATCCCCGGGTTTTTTTTTCACGGGTCTATTGTTGTCTGGTTGAGGATGTTCCTTCAAAGCTTATTGGAACGAAGAATGGTAAAAACATTTGATAAATTTGCATAATACTATATGTTTTATTGATTAGAGTATGTAGAACCTGAAACGAAGCATAATTAAGATGTTGAGCTTAGAATTTAGACTACTATTATTTTTACATCTCAACTGATTTTTACATCCAATTTATTATATCAATAGCTATACTCTATAAGACCTTTGAAATCAAACCTAAGGTGTTACATATTTGGATTTAACAGAAGTTTATTATGTGTGTTATGTTAATCTTTAATTTTATAAAGATAAAAAAATGGAAGAATTAAATTTCAGAATAAGTGGTCATTAAATTATATTAAAATAGTTTTTTTTTATTATTTAAAATTTGAAAATTATAAAACAATCGTTAAATTTTATCAAATTATTATAAAATGGCCATTAAAGTTTTCAAATTTTTATAAATTAGTCTTTAAACTTATTAAAATTTATCATTATCTTATAGTAACATGCAATGATCATTCTATAATATTTTGGTAAGTTTAATGATCATGTTGTATCCTCAAAAACTTCACGACTAAAAAATCATTTTAGATTAGTGTAGTGACCATTTTGTACTTCAGCCTAAATATTTGAAAAGATGAAAAGATACAATCATTGAAACAGGCTTGGGTGTCAAAATGTAAGATCCGGCAGTCCTAAAGGAAACTCTTACCATAAAACTAATTCTGCAGTCCAATATTCTCTTGGACAGTGAGTGAGATAATTAATATTGATTCATGGGAACTATTAACGAGAATGAGTGCTACATTCCGAGTTTTGAGGGCAGAGAAGTCGTCAGATTGATCCAAATAAAACGTTAAATTGGTGTTTTTTTCTGCTTTTGTTGAGTCTTCACAGTTGACATCCAAACAAAACACAGTTTCTCAGTTTGAAATTTTGAACCGCATTAAATCGCTTACCTCTTTAATTTAAACATTTTCCCGAAAGAGACATAGGAACCACAAGGTTCTTAACCTTGTGGTCGTGGGATCGAGTCTCACGGAGAGCATTTCATAATTCGGAGGTCTCTTACGGAAGCTGCTCTCAACCTGGTGTTGGGGGTAGCCTACTATCTTACCTCCCCTTACCCCATATATATATATGAGAAAAAGGGACAGTCATTAGAAATAGGAACCACCCTCAAGTCAAGTCCGTACGCAGCTAAGCTAGGTACACAAAATTGCTCTTTTCATTTGACTTAGCTGACTTTTACTCTGTTATTTTTTAATTTATATCTAATATATTGAAGTTTAAAAAACCAAATTAGTATTCCAAACACGTCTCCACGTGGCAAGCATGTAGACAGTTTCAGACTTTGAGTTCGCACCAGCTACCTGGTAAGTCTCTTAGTTTACATTAACCCTCTGTATGAACTCTGAAGACAAAAGTCATAACTTTCCGATATCACTTTCATAACTCGTTTTTTTTCATACACCGGTAATATTTTTCTTTTCAAATGAAGAAAAAGAAATAATTTTGGACCAAAGACCACTTCAACGGGTCATTGTCTTCGTCGACAGTGGGCTAAATACAAACTCAGCTCCACTAACTCCAGCTACCGTCTCATCAAGAATCCATGGCCAGTAATCTCTATCAAATGGACCAGCAACCGGCGGCTGAAAAGGCCGTTTCTGTTATCGGATACGGTACGACTTGTCCAAGGATATCAGGCTTTCGGCTTGCCTGCCTGAACCTTCCGGGTCGAGATTGATCGAACTGGACTCTGCAGCGAGCCAGGACCTGGTTTTTCCTGGTGGGATTTTTGTAAAAAAATGTGTCCAATTCAATTAAATGTGATAAAGGCGAGCGTACCAGGTTTCATTCTGATGTTCTTTCTTTTAGGCAGGTAAGTTTTTGGCTATATGTATTTGAGAATTTTAGGGAAGTTTTACGTTTCGTTTACTAATTTTGGTTTGTGTTTGGTGTTCTATTTGACCAAAGTTTTCAAAAGAGCGGTTATCATCCTTTCTTCCTGTTTATGTCTTCTTGCTGGTTCTTGCGTATCTTTGCTCATTGTATGTTGTTTTGAACTTGTCCTGTGACCTTTTACTATAAAAGAACTTGAGAAAAGCAATTCTACTTATAACTTCAGTGCTCTCATTGGCGTCAACTGTAGGTGAATGATATTTTGTACTAAATCAGTGCCAATTCTGGGTTTTTCCAGGTTCATAGAAAAATCAGTGCCTATACCTGGAGGGTAAGAAGAGTGACCCACTAGCAATCCATCTTCAGCATCTCTCAACTCTCCCTACAACTCTCCAGCTCTCAGATGATCTAAGCTACGAGTCAATTGATGAGCCGAAACGTGGCTACTTGGAACCCGTCAAGTGGAGCATGTTCTCACATGTATGCACCGCCCCCGTACACTACAGTGGATCCCACTTTGATTCCAGGTAAAGGTCGTCGGGATGAGGAAAGTTCTGTTCTTGAGGCTTGGCTTCTCCATGGTGGCCTCTGCTAGGATCCGTAGATCGGAATGGGACGGACCCTCAGCACAGTCACGAAAATCGGGGATCTTCTCGATGCTGGTCAGCACAAGGTTCAGTTCAGGACTGAATCAAAACGAGAAGCCGAGTAAAGTGGAGCTAAATTCACCAGTTTTTCCAGGAGGTCCACCTTCACCACCCAAAGCACCCAAAATGACCAACTTCGTAGACACGAAGGAGATGGTTAGAGGACCTGAGGACACACCTGGATATTGGGTGGTTACCGGAGCCAAACTTTGTGTAGAAGGTGGAAGAATCTCAATCAGAGGAAAGTATACATTGGTAAAAATAATGTCGGAAGAAAGTATGATGTTGATGCGAGAAAAGTTCGCATTATTTGTATGGCTCTGTAAGTAAAATGTAATCATGTACTGGTACAGCGTTTATTTGAAATTACCTTGAATAGATATCAATTGGCATAAGCCCATTCTTCTGACTTCTGCTTGAAAAAATTCCTTGTTCTTCTGAGCAAACCTTAATGCACTTTCCTGGAGACAATTTTGGAGAAGAAGATGAATTCAGTGTTTTCAGGGAAGGAGCATCCACTAAATGTTTATTATTGGACTTCATCTTGAAGCGACCGATTATAATTAACCAATAAAAGATGAATTTAATTGTTGGGGAAATCGGGTTATTTCCCACACGAACGTAGTTTTAAAATTGACTTAAAATGTCAAGATCAAAACCACCAAAGGTTGTACAGCGGATAAATCTGTCAAACTATTGGATATTGAAACACAATGGAAAAATCGAATAAAAAACAATAAAGGAGAGAACACACCAAATTTACGAGGTTCGACGAGAATATCATCTACTCCTCGGGTACCACACCGGATGATAACTTCACTATATCGCCAATATTACAATAAATGGAATTCTTTAGAATTGCCAAAGTGGGAGAATGAAGAATACAAGATGAAGAGAGAACTTGTTTTTTTTGGATGATTTCTAATGAAATACTTAGGCCTATTTATAGTTGAGTTTTAATGACTAAACTTATAAATAACCTAATATTTTAGGAATCAAACATGAAAAATAAGTTGGCCACCTACCAAAGAATTTTCCAATATGTACAAGTTTGCCACCAAATATGAAATTCACATATTCAAAGTTTGGTCACCAACCAAGATGAAATTTCCAATAAGTTGGCCACTGATGCAGGGGGATCTGAGACAGATGATGCTGAGCTGTCAGATTGCACGTTGATGGCGCTGAGATACCATGAGTTGGCAGATCAGCGCAAAGGCGGGAATTGATTGTGACATGTTCCTTATTGGGGTCGTTTTGAGTATGTTTCAGTCTTTTGGCCATAACTTTGGCTACAGGTGTCAGAATCGCGCATAAGACCCCAATCCGGAAAGCTCTTTTCGACGCGCACGCTCTCCACATTGAGCTACGCTCCATGTGGCCTTTTTTTCAACCTCAAATTCTGCCGTTTTCCCTCCGAATCACTAGATTTAGTTATTTTTTACTATTTATGGTAATATTTCGATTGTTAATTAGGAAGTCAATTTAAATCCGATTTAGACCGGATTTTTGGGAGATTGCTTATTTTATTTCGAATTTCAATTTAGAGTGATTTTCGGGATTTTGCTATTTTTGGCAAAATTCGAATAAATACGATTTTTGCTATTTTTGGCAAAATTCGAATAAAGACGATTTTTTTTAGCTATAACAGTCCGGCTTGTGGACTGCTTTTGACAGTTATTGATTTTATAATATTTTATTAAACCCTAGAGACTTTTTTTCTCTGGTTTTTGGGCGAATTTTCTCTTGTGAATCGTCTGTCGGAGCTAGCCTACAGGATAATCACTATTCTGTCTGGCGTCAGTTGGTGTCAGAGCTTCAACATCTTCTTGGGAAATTTCACCAGTTTCAATGGCTGGAGGTCGTGGTCGTGGTCGTCGTGAGCAGGTTCCGAATGAGGAAGCCCAACGCCGTGATCGCAGCGTTCAGGATGTGATGATTGCGGATTTGCAGAGGCAAGTCGCAGAATTAACCCAGCGCCTAGCGGCGCAGGATTTAGAGGATCGTGAGGCCTCTGATCACGATACAAATTCCACTTTCGAAAACCCATATCACAATCGCGCAGGATTCCGGGGCGCAGGATTCCGGGAGCACCGTGGTCGGGAGGAGCGTCATGGAGACCTCGGTTTTCGGGTCGATCTCCCTGAGTTTTCTGGTACATTACAGGCCGAGGGATTCGTGGATTGGATTAATGAAGTGGAGCGTATTTTTGAATATAAGGAAGTCCCCGATCGTGTGAAAGTGAAACTGATCGCCATCAAACTCAAGGGCAGAGCATCTGCGTGGTGGGAACAGTTACGACGTTCACGAGAAAGACAGGGCAAAGCCAAGATCACTGATTGGGAGAAGATGAAAAAGAAGATGAAGGGCCACTTCCTTCCCTTCGGCTACACGCAAACCTTATTTCAG